CCAGACCGAATCAAGTCGGATTTAGCGAAGGTGAACGAGTTTGGTTTTTTAATCCCCGACGGACAAAAGGCCGTTGTCCAAAGCTTCAAAACTCCTGGGAGGGACCCTATACAATAATCAACAGACTCAACGATGTCACATATCGGATCCAGAAGAGCCCTCAGGCAAAATTTAAAGTGGTTCACACTCACCGTTTGGCCAGGTATAACGATGATCCAGGAGTTACCTAATCGGGGCGATCAGGGTTTAGAAGGGGGCAGTGTAACGTAAATGGCCTGGGGTACTCACGTTTGGAATGGGGGGGATCGAAATTCATGGTATTTCAGTAAATGGGAGCACCATTTGCTCCCCATTTACTGTCAAATATGACACTGACAAGCGGGAAATTTCGCACATGGGCTGGAGATTTCGAGAACCGTCTGGTTTACCTGGAGAAAACTATATAAGCTACGACGAGAACCAGACAGGGGGACAGTGAAGTGACAGCAGCAACCGGGTGTAAAAGAGGTTAAACCCCGCGAGTAGCAAGACCGAGTTTTCCGTTTGTTATTGTTATTGTTTGTGAAGTTGACGGTAATTTTGAAGTTAGTTTGTTCCTGTTCCGTATTTAAAGTTATACCGAGTTGAATAAAAGTTGGAAGCTGAAGAAGGAGTTTGATACCCGGCCATCCACGGTACAATATTTTGAAAGTTAAATTGATCACCCTGTATGTATCAGAGGTATTCATTTTCGTTAAATTGAAAAGGTAAAAAAAACAAAAACGCCATTGAAAAACAATCGAGAAACTCTAAGATTCTCTCTAAGAGTATTAGAAACACTAAGTGGGATACAGCGAAAACTGTATTAGATTCTCATTGGACACTCGTCACGTACCATCTAGGCAATTTTAAACTTGATGTTAATTACTATTCTAATAATAACATAGCAAAAGTAGTACTAACTAAAAAATATTTCTATTACTGTGTACTTACGGTGCTAGCGCTTTCTCTATCTGCATCTCTATGACTTCCAGATGCCAAACTAAGACTAACTTCTCCTATGCTAGGATTGGCCGGCTCCTTAGTGCTGATCGCATCCACTGAGGATGTGTCTGGAGCAGGTGTTGAAAGTTCTTCACTAGCGCTTGATCCCCCGCAACCTCCATTCCTGCACAAGGATACAGGTACAACCCCGTATACGTAAAAGAGTAGTATTGGTACTCCAATACCCACGGCTAAACCAGCGAGTAGCGGTGTGATCATTACCTGAAAAGACAATAAAATTTTAAGAGAAATTAAAGATTAATTACATAAGTTGACATTACAAAAGTAAAAATAGTAACTATCAAATAGTCAAAGTAGGTATAACTTTTCATAAGAAAGTACAACGGCCACCACAAGTTATATGGCAATGTAGGATAAATAGCATTATGAGAGGCGAATTTATTTGAACAATATCATTATATACCTACTACGAAGTCATGTACCTATACGGAGGTAGCTACTAAAAACAACTTAATAATCTTCCTTCTAGCAATTCACTTGACACCAAATATAACTTACTTAACCATATAGCCAGGTGACAATTAATTCAACAAGTGTGCTTATTCCGAGGCAAGTTTATTTCTTAAATTAACATGCCTTATAAACATGTTTGCAACATTCCTAAATAAACAATAGTTCTGTTAAAAACCGCCATAGGATCATACAGTCCAGAATATTATGTTTATTTAGACATTATAAGATTATTTTTATTGAGATGGTGAGCAGTGCTTTTAAATTTGCACAAGAACACTAACGCAAAAACAGTGGAGTATAAATCAACAAAATTCTCGGTTTCATTGACGGTATTCTGCTTACGTTTAATCAGCACTTCCTTAGAAAATCACGACGTCGTATCTTAGATTGATAGATACATAGATAAAAAGTTATTAAACTATTTACATTGGTATAATGCATAGAAAGTTACCACATGGCCAAGGCAGGTTACTCCCTTTTCTCATGATCTAAATAGGCGCACTTAGTCGTCCATTACCTGGCCAGAGCCCTAACATGGACAGTCCCGAGCTAGCTATACGCACGACAACGTCAGGAGACCATCTTGAAGTGGCGGTTTTGATTTCGAGCGGCATTCAATAAGGAAAAAAGGTATTCCTGAAGAGAAGCCAAAACCCCCTTTTGCTTCGACCTTTAATTTTGATGTCAGCCGTGGCGTAAACCGTTGACAGTCTCAATCAGTAGATGGCCTAGGCCACGCCCCCCTCTCTTGACAGTGCAAAGATCAGCCAGCATCGACCAGAGCAAGGGAGCCGGAATCCGATAAGTCACAAAGTGTTGAATTTTTGCGATTCCAATCTTCTAGAAACGTAATCCTGCTTTTGCAGGAAGTGCTGGTTTGTTGTCACGTTTTGTTAGGGGACAAAATCCTCATAAAATTTGAGAAGTTGCGTATAAAGGGTACCACGGGTAGGGCGATGAAGTTTCACGTGAGGACACAGTCTTGCACTCCGCTATGATAGAATAGTATCTATACAGGGCGTCCCACTGGAAACGGCCGCGACTGATATCTGGCAAACTATAATTAGGATAATTTTGACAATTGAACAGTGTGTTGAAGTTATTGGGGAAAAATGATCCAAAATATTGTCAAGATGGCCACACTTCTGGTTATACCGGAAATAAGTATCAAGTTGCTTATTTTAAATGGAACACCCTATATATTATTAAATTTTAAAATTCTACTCCAACTTCTAAATCTATTTTATGTACGACATCATATACCTAAGTCTAACCGTTTTTGATACCTATATTTAATATATCGATGTTTGACAACATCGATGTTCTGATTTCAAATTGATTAACTTCAACTTAAATAATTTTATCTTAAGGGCGTTTTACAGTCGGCAATTGTATTGCCCGCAACTTTCTTGCGGCTATTTTTTGGCAGCTATATTTTTAGTACTCCGCTTTACAGTGTGCAATGTTAAACTTCACATTTAGACAAATCCATCAAGCGTACCAACTATTCACTATACGTAAAAAAATCCAAAGTTTGTTTGTTCTGTTTTCGTTTGAGGTTACAATTATATTGCCAAGGAAATTATTGTGATTAACATAAGTTGTAGTTTCTTTCGATGAAAAACGAAAGTAAGCAAATATGCCAGTGCTGGTGATTTATATTACTATGAACGAACAGTTGGCAGCATGAAAAGAACCAGAAAACTCACTAAAATTGCGGCTAGCTGCAAGAAATTTTAGGTTTGGAACTATAGCCGGCAAGTGCAATAAAAGTTACCGGCAACTCGAAAACTGATAAAATGCGCAAGCGTAGAACGAAATATTGCGTGCAAGAAAGTTGCGGGCAATAAAAATTGCCGACTGTAAAACGGCCTTTACTTCAGTGATGTCAGCTTTCACAGAGTGTAAAACACTCTAAAGATGTTAGAATTAAGACTCGTAGATAAGTTAGCAGTAAGAAATTTGTAAAAAATTTGTCTGAAATAAATAATGTTCAAGGACGGCCTTTACTACTACTATGACATTTTAAAACAATGCATTAGTAAATAATCGATTAAATTTATTCAATTTATAGTTGCCCCATTTTTCGGTCAACTGACTGCAATAAGAGGCTTTTTTCGGGTGCAGCTGGAAATGGGCCGCTGTGCCGCGGTATCGTTTGTATCGGCATTCTCAAAGAGTTCGCAGAAAATGTTTCTATCTAGTATCAACATCAAATGTCCGATGTTTTCATTTCAGGATTTAACATCGATGTTTCATCGATGTCCCAAATTTCTAACATCGATGTTTTTGTCCCATCCCTAATAGATACTTAGATGCCAATTACCATCCCACTTCAAAATTAATAAAATTGAAATTTAACATTGTAGCTACTTCCGTACCATGCGAGAGATTATTTTCCAATGCGGGTACTATCATAAACGACCGAATAACTAGACTTAGTAAAAAACATCGACAAAAAATATTCTTCAATGTTAATTCATTTTTAAATAAAAATGTGCTTTTCAAACATTTTCGCATGCAAAGCGTACGTATATTCTATTTAATCCATTCTATTTTACTATCTGTTCAGAACTGTTACATCCTTAATGATATATTTATCTGTTCTGAACAGATTCACCACAGGCAGCGATCATAGGACATGTATTGATAGCACAAGAAAACTTAATGGAAACAACGAGCAACTGGACATGACCAAACTTACAACAGGAGCCGAAAATAAGACTATATATAAAGAGGTTCAGTTTATTGACCGATATCGAATAATTACAAGATGGTTGATTTTCTTAGAAATTCGGTCTGGACAGTGACGATGAAAAATTTAAAAAAATTTAGCTGCCAAACTTTCCGCAATTTATTGTCGCCTTCCTCAGGGTGCTAATTGTTTGTCCATAAGAAGGCTGGGAACCCTCCAGAATATTCTATCATTTTTTTGTACAGCTTAATGAAATATTTAATCTTTTGGATTACACAAAACATTTATTCACGATCAACATGTTGACAGACTACACTAAATACCTATTAATGATGACCTGAATGCTCTGTACTTCTATTTGATTACAGAAGAAGAAAATATACTGTAAGCTTGGTAGCTAAAAAAGTTTTTCTTTTTCTTCACCATTGCCCAGACCGAATTTCCAAGAAAATCAACCATCTTGTATATATAAAGAAAAACTTAAAGAACAACTAACACAAAACCTGAACAGCGATAATAGAAATACAGATTAAATAACCGTTACCCTAACAAAACCGATGAGTAGGAAAATAAATAGCACAAAAAGAAGGAAAATTCCATCACAGCAGAGATAAAGAAACTCATGGAGGAAAGGCGCCACATGAGCAAAGAAGGAAAAAGGAAATCAATAGAATACGTAGAAATGAATAAGATTACCAGCAAAATGATAAAAGAAATAATTGGGTAGATATGAGATAAATAAACCAATATTAAAGAGGATATCATAAATATCACACACCTATTTTATCATGAGCAGAGCGATGCTTTATTCTTGAGCAAATTTCATATATTGTGATATACCTCGTATACGACTGAAAAAAATATCTGATGGTCGCGTTTTAAGTTTTGGACCAAGCAGACAAAGATACAAAACTTTTTCGCAAAATGAATATGTAATAAAAAAAATTCATACGGCGCGAACTTAAGCAGACACACTGTATATGTATGGCTCCTTCAACCTGTTGTATTGTTTTAATAACCTAATAACGTTAGCCTTATTAACTCACCTTCTACATTAAATTTGTATCCATCACTTGAAAGTTTGGTAATCTACTCTTTACTTCGGCAAAACTCCTGTTATCTGATTTTCAAAGAATATAACCGAGAACATTGAGACGTATAAATAGTATGATAGAGAGTGGGGCAAACTAAGCGATGTTGTACAAACGGGAGAAAAGCACTGTTCCTGTCGGAAGGACAGCCAGATAAAAGGAACGAATTGGTTAATTAATTTACGGGCGTACAGTCGTTACTATAAATGGGAGCAATAAACGTTCCCTTTACGAAACCATCAAAATAATTTATATTTACGGAGTTTCTATTGATTTGGTAAATTGTGACAATATGTGTACAATCAGGTAGTCACTTCAATATTATAATTTTTAAAGAAACTAAGGAGCAATCAATGAAAACTGAAAGAACCAAAAATGTTATGGTTTAAAACAAACACATTTATTGATTATAAGCACAGAGTTTAGTGTTTCAAGCAAGGATTCAATATCTATTTGAAATGCTCAAAACTTATAATCATCTCAATGACAAATTAAGAGAATATCTGCTATGCTACATGCTCTTTTGCAAAATGGAAAACGGCCTGAAAGCGAGGAGAAAAATAATGAGCTTTGGAGCTTTAGCGCGGAACTACGACCCTTGCAAAAATCAGGAAATGGTTTTCTTACACAATGAATAATCGTTTCTACGTTGCTACTTTTGCGTGTTTGTTCGTTATATACTGTAAACAGATTTTAGAGTATAGAATATGTTCAACCACTTACTTATTCTATTAATGCCGACATAGAATTAAACAATAAAATAAACATTCAATAAAATGCAATCATGAGGATTTATGAGGAGTTTATTTACAACTGCTTTTTAGGATATGTTTTCAGAATGTACTAACGAAAATATCCGATATTACATCGAAAGTCAGCAATAATGATTATTTTACTTGTTGAATACATCAGTTATTAGAAAAATATTGAGCAAGTTGAAAATCTTGTTTGCGACTTAAACTTGAGCGTTCCTTTATTATTTTGCCATAAATAAAAAGACCAGTAAGTAATTTGTCTAGCTAATTTCCACCTCTTATAACTTCTATGTAGGAACATATTAAACACTTAGCTTAATTCGAAGTCTTCTTATTTAAATTTTACTTTAACAGTAAATATGTACATGGGGCAGACTGCTGGCAAAGAGCTCTTTGCTTCCGTGTTTGAGCTATTACAATTATTCAACAAATAGTTGTGTAATATAAGTGGATAAATCGCCATATTGACCTTAACTGGGTACAAAAAGGAAATCGTGGAAGCAGTTGTCAAAAAAGTCCACAAATCAAAAAAATTTCTTTCTTCAAAAATTGTCCCATGTTTAATGTGTATCACATTGGAATACTTAAGCCTCCGTCCCATGCATCCGTTTACACGATAATACGATGGTACGAAAGTGTTTATATTGGTCAGAGATTTTAGACGTTCGTACGATCCCGATTTCTAGCTGTCCCATGCATACGATAACCTTGGATTGTGAACGATAACCATGCTTGCAGGATTCACAATTTTATCTTACCATACCGAACCAAGACAACCTCGAGTTCAGTTCTACGGCAGTAGAAATCAGCAGCAATAAAACCTATCAAAGTTTTTTATATGAACACTAGCTGACTCGGTAAACGTTGTATTGCTATATAAACTATTCCTAGGGTATTTTTTTTCATCTCGGGTGGGCAAACCGAGAGCTTCAGTAGGGGGGCGTTGTGGAAATTTAACTTGAGCTAGTTCGTTGGAACTTTTGCTCTTTTATGACTGCCCTTTTCGGGACTTTTAAGTTATAAATTTAGAAGAGTTGATCTGTGTGATTAGTAGAAGTGACCAGTGGTTTGTTGCCCTTGGCACCTCTGGTTGGGATTAGGGGGAA